GTCGATGATGGCCTGGTTGAAGGGATGATGCTCCGCAAGCGTCAGTTCACGACGTGCGAAGCTTGTCAACTGGCGAAGCAGCGCGCTAAGCCGGCGAAGCAGCAGCTCGACCGCGGAGTCACGTAGAAGAATCAGCTGGTGTTCGCTGACCTACTATTTCAGCCAGCCAACTATAACTGCACAAGATACAAGGCTGTTCTGGTGCTGATGGACACGCATACGAGGTTTGTCACGGCTTATCCGGTGAAGTCCAAGACAGGAGATGAGATCAACGCGCTCATTCGGAAGTACGTGGTCTGGGCTGAGAGGCAGTCCAGTGGCCGTAAGGTGAAGTCGCTGTTCACGGATGGGGGAGGTGAGTTTGTTAACGCAGCAATTACGGCGTGGTACGAGCAGCACGGTATTGTGCACACCACGACGCCTCCGAACTCGTCACGGTTGAACATGGTTGAAAGGACACACCAGACTTTAGTTGGGATGATGAAGGCGATGGTGAAGGAGTCAGGATTACCGACTTCCTTCTGGGTAGACGCGCTGCATTACGCTGTCTACCTAAAGAACCGATCGTACTCGGCCCCAGTAGGGCGAACTCCGTACGAAGCAATGTGGGGGAGGAGACCAGATCTTCACCACGTGAGGAAGTTTGGTGCCCTCGCGTACGTCCATTCGAAGGTCGGGCCATCGCGCCATAAGTTTGCAGACAACTGTCGGGTGGGTTTTCTCCTTGGTTTCCGTGAAGACACGCTTGGATGCAAAGTATATTTCCCAACGGAGGGAACGGTATTGTACGGGGGACAAGTCACAGTGAACGAGCAGGTGATGTACAAGGACCGACGTGGACCTGAGTTCGAGAGAAATGTTTGCGAGTGGGCTCGCAAGACTTATCCGGATCTGACGAGTGCTGCACGCAGAGATTACGACCTACCGGTCGCAGGAGGGCGTGAAACTTGGCGGGTCGACGCATGATGTGGAGTACGACGAAGACGATGACGCAGATGAAGACGAGCAAGTGAACCACGCGCCGCAACCGCACCATGCTGCCTGGGTAGACCGGGAGCCTCCTCGGTTTAGCGATGACATTGTGTTTTCTGAGCCAAACTCGCGCAAGAATGAGGCAGAATCAAAACAAATGGGAGTCCGATAGACGACGATCGAGACGATGATGAGCTGGCGGAAAACGATGATGAAGATCCAGCCGTCGATGATGATGAGGAGGACGTTCCTGAACCGGAAAGTGAACCGGACGCTGATGAAGAAACAGGTATTGATGACGAGGAAGACGTCGGCGGCAGTAGTGATGAAGCCGACAGCATTGACGCCGCCAGTTACGAGGAGGTCATCGAGGCCGTGGATGAGCGCCTACCGGAACAAGTTTCGGGGAGCAGACGTCCTCGGGACGACGACGGCGACGAGATAAGTGACGAAGCGCAGAGGAAGCGCCTACGTACAGGGCTTGTTGCGGTTGCTGACGACGATGGAGACGATGCTGAAGCACTGCGGAAGTTTTACGTTTACGCAGCAATTGCAGTCGTCATCATGAAGCAAGAAGAGCCGGTGAGGCGACTTTGGCATGAGTCTGAAGTTCGATTGCCACGAAGCTTCAAGGAGGCGATGCGCTCGCCGCAGCGCAAGGAGTGGCTGGAAGGAATGGAGAAAGAGCTGGCTGCGATGCAAGACAAGGATGTGTTCGAGCTCGTAGCAGAGGACGAGATTCCACACGGAAAGAGCCTGCTCCAAACAATGTGGAGGTTCCAAGTGAAGACTGACAAAGATGGCAATGTGGTACGGTTCAGACCTCGACTGTGTACGAGGGGTGACAAACAACAGCCTGGTATTGACTTCGTGATCTCGGAAATATTCTCTCCAGTTGCTGGTATGGCAGCTTTTCGATTGTTCGTGGCGGTGTGCGTCTTGCTAGAGCTGGATGTGTTCCAGTGCGACGTCAACACAGCGTTCCTGAACGCAAAGTTGAAGATCACTCACTTCATAAAAGAAGATTGCAGGGTTTCCGCTCGAAAACGGAATGGTCTACAAGGTTAAGAACGCACTGTATGGACTGCATCAGAGTGGGCGAGAATGGTACGACGAGCTGCACGCATGGCTAGTGAAGAACGGCTGGAGTCGTTGTGCGTCAGAGCCATGTATGTACGTGTACAACCAGGAAGGAGTCTTTGCGCTGCTGCTCGTGTACGTCGATGACCTTATTTGTGGCACAAACGACGAGAAGTGGAAGGAGGGCTTCTTCAAGAAGCTCAACGCGAAGTACGGGATAAAGGACCAAGGCAGGCTGCATAACTATCTGGGAGTTGAAGTGGAGATCACTGGCGATGAGGTGTTCTTACACCAGACGAAGTATGCTGGAGATGTTGTGAAGCGGTTTGGATTTGAGTCGGCCAGGGGATGCCGCTCACCGATGGACCCTACGGTAATACTACGTGCGGCAGATCCAGAAGGCGTAGCCTGGTATTGTCTAAGCAGGTTTGTTACGAATCCGACGGTGCACCATGGCGGAGCACTCTAGAGGGTGCTGAAGTATATGGTGGCAACTACTGGTCATGGCATTTGCTTCAAGAAGCCGAAGAAGCCTATGGTATTGAAGGCTGCGAGGTCTAAGCTTTGCATCGAAGGGTTCTGTGACTCGGACTGGGGGAATTGCCCGGAGACCAGGAAGAGCCGTCACGGGGTACGCACTGTTGATTGCCGGTG